TCTATACTTCCAAATATTTCTATAGGTCATGTTTTCTAAACCCTTTACTTAATACACACTCCTGCACTCCCCTGTCTTTCTTAAAATGTTGCACGTAACTGATTTTTTTTTTAATCAAGCAGAATGCAGCAACCATTTGACATCAGTTTTTCACAGAGTAGAACAGTGAATATTCCTCCCAAGTTTACACGCAACACTCTGAGTAATGCATCCCAAAAAAGGTGGTCTTTTGCAACAGTATCACATTCTCTATCCTTGTGTGTTTGTAGACTACTACAGCCCCCAGAATTTTTTTACACAGCTACTGATCTTTTTATATTTGTGCATTTGATTATTTCCTTTCTATAATCTTTCACTCTTTATTTAAAGTAACTAATTACAAATTTTGGAATTTTCCTATTTTCCTGTTCCCAAAGTGCAACATGTCCCTGATCGTTGTCATCCACTTGTGCATTATATTTTGCAAATCTTACACTTCTGTATCACTTGTTGCATTGCAGTAACAATCAGAAAAAATAAAGCTTATCTTTCTTGCTAGTCAAATCTGAGTTGAGAGAGTTCTCTAGAAAAACTTCCTTGAAGTGCCTCCTAAGCAATAGACACCTTTTGTTCTATAATGTGATTCTAGCTAAGCTCTATAATATTTTCATTTTGACATCCAAAAAGTGAAGAACAGCAGCATCTGCTGATATGATTCACAAGTGGTGGACTTGCTGAACTGTTTTCTTACCTAATTTGTTTCTTATTTTTAATCCACAGTGAATATAAAAGGTCAGAAATCAGATATAGAATAGTTTTTAAAGCAAAAAAGAACTGACATTCATTTGAATTAAATGTATTGTGTAATACTAAATGAGAATACGGAGGATGGAAAGGTACATCCTGTGCTAGAGCAGTCATTTTTGGTTTTCTTCTCGTTATTATTGCTGCTTATTGTGTGATACAACTCTTTATGCTACGTGTCCACTTTCTGCCACATTTGCCAGCTAGTTTTACATTTGTCCCATGTAGAGACCAAATGTCTAATAAATCACACACCCTTAAATAACTAAAGATATTGTAAGTATAACATGAACTCTGAACATGTCAGTAAAGCAACTGGCTTTACCATGCAACCACAGCATTAGGTTTGAAGTAGGATTTTGTAAATCTGAAGCTTCCTGTGTAAGGACTACTCATGGCAGCGTTCATCCAAATTTCAGAAGTTGGCGAATTTTTATTGTCTAAACTTTTCCATTAGTTCATCCCTTTTTTACTGGGGAATTTCACTACCGTTCAGTGGATGGGGCCTTACACTGCGAGCAAAAAGCTCACACAAGAGAAATGGTAGTTTTTTGATAAATGACCAAAATATGCACTGTTTGAGCAGTGATTATGGACATACTTCAATAATACAATAAATCTTAAACCCATCTCAGTTTATAAGTGTGTGAGGTTAACTGTAGTAGTTTATATAACTCGGATGATATTATGTCTTAACATGCACTTTATTGCAAATAATCTGAACTAAACCACTGCTGTTTACACAATGCAGGTTGTAGGGAAAAAGCAAAAAATAAATACAGGTAATATATTATTAAATGTACAGACTATTTAGTAATTTTAATGAAATGTTCATAGGGAAGAAGGTTGAGAGTTAACTTTCTTAACAGTCCCCGCTACTAATGGATAGTGGATTCTATTGGCTAAGTCATTTCTTTTTTTTTGGGCTGTGACTTTCGAAGAAAATCAGTCACATGTGAATGTTCAGTTTGGAGAGAAACAAGCTGACAATTCAGGATGACTCACTTCAGATAAGAGAAACAGACAGGATGGTTTGTAATATTCTAGTTGTTCTTTTCTGCTGTTATTGGGATTTGCTAACTGATCAGGGACAGAATTCCGACATCTGGCCCTTGCAGTTAATCTTATATTTCTGCAGCGCGTGCAAAGGAAGAACAGCAGATAAATGTAGTCACTTCAGCAAGTCCGTCAGATCTTATGAAGCTTGCACTCAAACAATCTTTGTCCTTCTCTGCCCATAACTCAGCCCAGATCTCAAATGTTCAGCTATGGCATGACAGAAAGAGAGGTAACAGAGATTGTAATGACCAAGTCTCAGCCATCCTTTCTGATTCTCTTCTCTGCTCCAGTCACCAAGCAAGCATAGCCCTCAAGGACTAGGATGTGTTAGTCACTGGGAGGCATGAAACTGGAAACGAGTTTGTTCTGAAATGGAGTAAATGCAGATATGGAAAGTTTACTCCAGCTTCAAATGCCTTAACACTACTCCCAGGCTCCTTCTGTTCTGTAACTGTTCAATCTCATATTCTCTAATTCCCCTTTCTTGTGTTCAGGTTTCTCTGGTTTCTGTTGTCATCTAAATTTAGTTTTGGGGAAGAGTTCTTGGAAGTATGGTATAGTCCTCTTTCCAACATCTCATTAATCTTTCCATTGTCTCCACTGTACCTCAGCTCATATCCCCACCGAAGTATTGGCAATGGTACTGTCACTAGTTTGTACCTAATTCTGTTATACACAGCACTGCAATTAGTTGCATAAAGTCTCAAGGCTTATTTTGGCTATATGGGCATTCAAACATTTAACTTGTGTACTCAGGCTGCACACAGATTGCTAATAAATCTATAAGCTTGGAATATTTTTCTTGTCTTTTCTTTTGGGGAAACTCTATTGAAAATGTGTGCACGTAAGAGAGAAATTATAGGTAGAATATGGGTCTGGCAGAGAGATATTGGACTTAATGTAGTTCCCAGCATGCTAATAAGGCACTTAGGTAAGCAATGAACACTCTTTAGGCTCTGCTAGCTTTAGCAAGATATTTGTAGGAGATAGACCAGATTTATGACAATCCCTGTTTTGCTGAGTTTTTTTTTTTCCACCTTCTAATTATTTAGATACTGCACCTAGATCAAAATCAAGTCTAAATTTCTTGCATATCTGTGGTCATAAAAACAAGAGGAGCAAGGAAAATCAAACATAAGAGAACTGCAGCAGAACAAATATATACACAGGATATTTTTCCAAGTTTTTACACTCAGCAGGTCTTTGAAAGTAGCTCAGCAGGCTGAGTAGCTTTCACGAGCATTTCTTCTTGGGAATCGAGTGATGACTAGAGTGACTCTTTGCTGCTTTAAAGTGCAAGCTAACTGCTAATTACTTTTTTTTTAAAGCATATTAAAAGGGCTGGTGTGTGTCGTCATATTAAAAACTACTGATGCAACATTATGGTAGTACTCCAGGTGAGTACTACAAGCTTGAATGACTATCTCCTGAAAAAAGAAAAGGTTTTCTTTGCATGAGAAAGTATCTTTTTTGCTTTCTGTGTTTTACTGTTTGTTTCCCAGCATGCACTTTCTTCACATTAGCAGAACATTAGAACATGCTTTTGATTCACAGGTGCAAGATGCGTTGAATCAGTGGATCTGAAGCTTGTAGCATGTTATGATTTTATTACTTTCTATCTCTGGCCAAAAAAAAGTTTATTAGAGAATGGCTCAAGCAGAAAAGGAAAGAAAAAGAGCAAATAAAAGAAACTCAAATTAAGGCTGGAAAAAAGCTAGTTTTCAACCTGAGCAGGATGAGACTTTAGACCACACTTGGGCACACTGCTGCCTTTTGTGCTTTGCCTGTTGCGGGGGCAGTCTGAGGTGAGATGTATTGCTGTTTATATTTTTGCTTTGAGAGCAATTACACCATGTCATGTGTAATGGTGGTTATTAGCAGCTATGGCTCACACACACACGGCTCTCTTGTCCTCTTTTGCACCTTTATTTTTATTTTCTGGGAAAATGAGAAAGGTCAAATGCTGTCTTGAATAGCTGACTAAATATCTTCCTCAGCTAAAATGGCAGAAGATGCCATAAGGCAAATGTGGCTACAGCTGGGAGGCTTCATTCCATTTTGCCCTGCTCATAAGACTAAACGTGTCATTGGTGCTTAACGTCCAGTGATTCAGGAGTTGGAACTTGAATTAATTCTCAACCTCTTTGTTTGCACTCCAGTGTAATGCACGGCAGGCTCCTCTCAACTCTAGCATATCTCACTCTCCTTTTGAATGTAAGAGCAATGCTGATCTTTTAGAAAGAAAATGGATGGGGATATTTCTGAAGTCAGAATTAACACAGATGTCTGAATTTAAATTGATATATTTACCAGAACAATAAAATAAGGTAAAAATCAAAAGTAACCTGAAGAGAAAAACTACTTTCATTTTATTGTTCTTTTTGCAAGTAAAAAATCAAAGACAAGGGGTATCATGCACGTGCAAGAATATTGCTATGCAATTCCTCTTTACATCCTTTCTCATATTCAATTATTTTCTTTCCACTGAGGAATAAAACAATATATATGCCTAGAAGAATGTATTTTCCTGCTTAGTTAGTAGGGTTAAAATTGCTTTTTTTATTAAAGGCTGAGTACTTCCTCATTTATCATTTTAAATTCCATTAGTTGTTTCCAAGGAGATAGAAATATGCAGGAAAATCATCTGAGACTCTGATTTGTAAGGCTGTTCTCTTTAGTGAGAGTTGAATGTGCCCTGTTTTAAGGAACAAAATAAACTTGGAGCTGCTGTAGTAAAGAGGTTGGGACTTTGAGTTTCATTTCTGTTCAGGCCTACTTTCTGCTTCTGGAAGTTGGAAGGGGATTGTAAAATATTCAAATCAGTATCAGATTATCATTTAGTGGCTTGGCTGTGCTGTTTTCTACACTGAAGCAGGATAGGAAGTTCCCTCACCCACCCACCCCTTGTGGTAGTGGCTTTCTCCTGACAGTTCTAGGTATTTCTTGGAGGACAAGAATGGACAGTAGACAACTTATTTTTCTTCCTCTGAGTTCTTCTTCAGAAATAATAAAGCCTGGATGGTTCCACAGGTATTTAAAAGCCTGTAATTGTTCAGTGAAGTGCCAGTGTTAAGTTCTAAACAGAGATATCTTTCTTTTTTTTCTTTCTATTAATAAAATCCTAATGAATCTGAAGGTAAACAGATCAGTTGTCTTACCTGAAGTAGTCTTCACCACCTCAGTTGTATTTCTTAATCCTGTAAAGGAGAACTGGTAAAGCCTCCAGGACCTGGTGTCTCCCACCTCCACTGAGCTGCGCTTCCATTGGTAAATGATCTCTTCTCTTGGGTAGCCATCTTATTGCAACGGAAAATACAGAATGCTTTGTTTCATAGTCATTGCTAGGATTTTAGTGTACTTTGGGGAGTAAAAATACTATTTTCTATTTCTGGAAAAAACTGGAGAAGCCTATTGCAAGTAAATTATAGATATGTTTTTCTCAAGTTACTTAGTAGTACCTTTTACTTAATGTCACATTTTATTTTATTTATTATAAATTAAATAGCACTTGAGATAAATTTTTCAAAAATGAGTTTTCCACTTTTGTGGACCCAATAGGATGGAATTTTGCCCATGTTTCAATTATGGCCAAAAAGTTTGCAGCTGGACTAGGAATTCACACATTGACCTGGCTGCAAAATGTCAAACTCTTGACTCCAGCTATTGCAATAGTAAAACACCCATGCACAGAGGGGAAGTATCAGGCCATGAGACTTTGATGCTGAAAGTAAAAATTTTTACTGTTATGATAAGATATAAGCATAAACTAATCACATAGGTCCCAGAAATTGTATCATTTTTTATATAGCCTTCCTTGATTATATTTGTGAACATATATGATTCATGTACTTGAAAATAAGGTCACAATTAAACTGAAAACCATTGGACTATGTCTAGTTAAGAACATAAACTTCGCTGACTCTAAGTATGTATATATAAATTTATAATAAGTGGTTCAATGTGGGTCAGGAAAGGGATATTTCTAAGCATGTTACTTACAGCTTGAAAATTCCAGGGGGCAGGAATGGGCATCCATTGGAAAGTTGTGTAACTGTAGCTGACACTCAGCATCAATTGTCAGCCTGAGGAGAAAGAGATTGAGATATACAGGATGCACTTAAGAAGTTTGTCCTGAAAGCTAACTCACGGCAGGCAGAATGAGATTCTTGCTAATATGGAACCTGACTCTGACATATGCAAATACATAATATATATATATAGAAAGCAAAAGTAAACTATTGATATGTATGTATTAATTTGGATATTCCAAGCATAGGAAGACATCATGGTTACTGATAAGCAGTATTTCTTTTTTGGTTACACAGGCCCTGATCATCTACTTTCTGGACTGTGTAATAGAATATGTTATTAAAGTTCTGTTCCTATGTATCTGAAATGGCAGCATTACTCATGACTGGCAAATCCATAAGTAGATATACAGGTCATCTCATGAGCAGTGACAAATCTCTGTGTCACAACATGCCATAATGCACTAGGGAAATGTATTTTACGTGACAAAAATTCTATTTCAGAAATGATGGATGGGAGTCCAAATTTAGACATCTGCATCCAAGACAGCCATCTAGACTACCTTCATAGCTAGTGGACAGGCGCTCTGAGGATATACTTCATTTCATTCCAAAATAAAACATTTAAATTTAATCAGAAGAAGAATGTACTGAAAGGTGTTTTTCTCCACTGAATATCAGGAGAGTCTCCATGATAACTCAGGTGGTGTAGGTGGTATAGACCAGGTAGAGACATGTACTTTTAGAAATCCAAAATTAGATGAGATGTATCCCCTGAGGTGCCTGCTAAAAACTCTACCATTTTTCATTCAGTTCCTTAATTGTTGCTAGCCTATACATAGGCCCAGCCCTGCCATGAACTGCATGATACTTTGAAGTTGGAAAGGAGGGAGGAGGTGGGGTGAGAGAGGGAAAAGGGAAAAGGAGGGGAAAAAAAAAGAGCAGAGTGATGTTTACTTCTTCCATGAGTCTCTAGGAAAACCGTAGGTTTCTGGTCTTTGCTGATTCCTGGGTGTATAAATGAGCAACCCTGTGAGGTGGGTTTGTCTCCTGGCTCCTGCATGTAGGTGCTGCATGCATATGACTCCCCAGGTCTCATACTGTGGGATGCAGAGGGATGCTGTGACCACTAGCCACCAAGTTAATGAAGTCAAAAGGAAACTTTTCTGCATTAGGGACTTAGGAACATACCTAATTTCCTTTGAAATTAAGGGAAGTTCTGTTTGTGACACAGAAGGAGACCTGATTCTGTGTGCTAACATTATTGCTCGCTCTTTCTCTTCTTATTTCCATCATCTTCAGTTTCATTTCAAGATAATCATAATATGGATGCAAAAAATGATTAAGATCTTTCTTCGATATTGCCTTTCCTCTGGTGAATATATTTAACACTGTTTGAATTTGGGATAGGCTCAGATTTACTGATGGTTTTTATTTTTCTCTTGTGGAATTGAGTAGATTTCATTCCCCAACACAAAACATAATCCAGGCTTTAAACATCTCCAAGCATGAAGTTTTCTGGGCAACCCGTTCCACTGTTTGACCATTCTCACAGTAAAAAAGTTTCTTCTTATGTTTAAACATAATGTCCTGTACTTCAGCTTGTGCCCATTGCCTCCTGTCCTATCACTGGATACCACTGAGATTATGTCTCTGTCTTCTTTACCCCTTCCATCCCCTACCTTCTTTACCCCCACCCACATTACACACATTGATAAGATCCCCCGAGCCTTCTCTTCTCTAGGCTGAACAGTCCCAGCTCCCTCAGCCTCTCCCTGTACATTGGATGCTCCCAGCCCTTCAGCATCTTAGTGAGCCTTCACTGCATTTGCTCCAGTAAGTTCATATCCCTCTTGTACTGGGGAGCCTAACACTGGACCCAGCACTCCAGATGTGTCTCGCTAGTGCTGGGCAGAGGAGAAGGATCGTTTCCATTGACCTGCTGGCAATGGTCTTCCTAATGTAGTCCAGGATGCTGTTTGCCTTTGCTTCAAGGGCACTTTGCTGGCTCATGGTGAATGTCCACCAGGATCCCCAGGTCTTTTTCTGCAAGGTGCTTTTCAGCTGGTCAGCCCCTACCCGGTACTGCTGCATGGGGTTATTCCTCCCCTGGTTCAGGATGACATTTTCCTTTGTTGAACTCCATGAGATTCCTGTTGGCCCAGTTCTCCAGCATGTTGCAGTCCCTCTGGGTGGTAGCACAACCTTATGATATACCAGTCACTCTTTCCAGTTTTGTATTATCTGCAGACATGCTGAGGGTGCACTCTGTCCCATTGTCCAGGTCATTAATGAAGATGTGAAGATGTGAAACTGTATTGGCCTAAACCAAAACTGGGGAGTACACCACTAGTGACTGCTTTCCAGTTGGCCTTCATGCCACTGATCCCAACCCTTTGAGCCTGGCTGTTCAGGCATATTCAATCCACCTCAGTGTCCACTTATTTAGCCCATACCTCATCCTCTTCCACCAAAGGTAAGTCTTCCTTGCTCCACTTTCGTACTGGTCTCAGGCACCTGGAATTTCTGAAGGCAGGGTTTTACCAGTAAAAACTGAGGCAAAGAAGTCATTGTGAACCTTGGCCTTGTTAGTGTCCTTTGTGACAAGGTCCTCTTTCCCGTTCAGTGGTGTGCCCACATTTTCCCTAGTCTTCCTTTTGCTGAGTATGTATGTGTAGAAACCCTTCTTGCTTTCATGTCCCTAGTCAGATTTGACTTGAGATGAACTTTGGCTTTTCTAATCCTGTCCCTGAGTGCTCGGACAGCATCTCTGTATTCCTCCTGGGTCACCTGTCCCTGCTTCAAACTCTAGTACATTTTCTTTTCACATTTGAGTTTTGTCAGGAGTGTGTTGATCCATGCAGACTGCCTTCTATCTTTGCTTGATTTCCTGCTGGTCAGGATGGACTGTCCTTGAGCTTAGAGGGAGGGGACTGAGAAAATCAACCAGCTCTTCCGGAGCCCTCTTCTCTTCAGGACAGAATCCCAGATCTGTGATGATACTATCACATTTCACTTCTGGATTAATCCAGCTTGAATCCTTACTGGTGCTTGCTGTGACTCACTACAACATCTAAGTATACATTAATAACAGATAACTGTTTCTAAGTTCTATCAGATATCTCTCTTTCTAATGAGGGGAACTGAGGGGTTTGAAGAGAAATGTAAGGAAATCCAAAGAGACAGTAGTGTAGCTAAGTCCAAATTTAACATTTCAAAAGTGGACCTAGGATCTTCCTTATCAGACTGCCTTTGATTTGCACGAGATTTCAATTCCGATCATTCTCTTATCTCTTCTGGCAATGGAATGTGTAATGAACGTAAAATAACTATGAAATAAAACTCCTTTTTGTAAATCAGACAGTTGCAACATTAAAAGGTTGTCTTAACCAAAGCTTCAGATCTAGTAATTAAAATTATTAGTGTACTTTTCTTTAAAACATTATTTTTGACACCAAATAAAACAAAAGCAGAAAAAATACTTTGAAAAAAAATGCAGTCTAAAACTCAGATGGTCTTATGTCTAACATGTTTGATTCTTTACTCTCATTTTAAATTATAAATTCTCTTGAACAAATGCCATCTTTATCTACATTTTACATAGGACCAAATATTATATCACATGTAAGAAAAAGAAAAAATAGGCACTTAGAATTTTCACATTTAGGAAGTATCTTATGGTTATTGGGAATATGATATTTGAATTGTTACATATTGCATACGTTACACTTAAATGTAGGCATACACATAACAATTATTGAAAAGATAGTTTTTAAAGGTAATCTGTCTCAAAAGAAAAGCTATATACGTGCCTGAGAAATCTGGAGATGAGCATATCAAGTTCAGATTCATGAAAATTTCAGTGGAACAGGGCATATCTGTAGGTTTTGGATTAAACTTTAAATGACCAATGCTGAAATGATAATCCTTATTTTCATAAGATATTTGAGGAATTAAATGCTTTTGAAGGGTGGAGCTTCATTTAGCTAAATTGTAATTAATTGATTCAGAATAAGATGCCTTGGATGTACATAATACTTCCTTTTATACCATCTACTTAATTCAAGGATATTTTTAATTCATCGTTATAACCCAATAAAAAGGTAAAAGGCAATATGGACCAAACCAGTGGCAAACAATAAACACATACCTGGAAATCATAGAATAATATATGAAATGAAGATTAATTACTATAACAATGCTTATATTCATTTTAGTATAGGAATGTGACTATTGTAGAGCAAGACAGTACAACCTATGGGAAGAAATAAAACTCTTTACTGTGCCAATATAAAATAAATTCCATGCAAGTAATATCTTCTAAATATTTCCCTTTTTCAAGGTTGGATGCATAAGTCAATGGGAAACTCAATGTTTTTTCCTTCAGGTTAGTGTCAAAAGACCTGAATTCACAGGACCTTTCTCTTTGGCTTTCCCCAGAGAAACTGAAATTAAAGTCAGGTATAAATACCTCAATGTGTACAACACTCTGCCGTCATTCCAGATCCTGAGCATCCTATTAGGAGTTGTTATCCAGTGAGCATCAGCTTTCTTGGAATTTCGGAAAAATGTGTCTGGTATCCAGATCTTCCCAACCATGTTGCTGTTTAATCTGAGCACTTTTATAGTGCTGTTGAACTTCAGACGTCTGTCATACCACGTTTGGGCGAAAAATATATCAATTGTATATTCCTGTTGTGTTAACCAGAAATACTGATGAAAACATAGCACTCAGCATTTCACATAACTCCTGATATGCTTTCCTTAATTTCATATGAAAAATGTGAACTACAGAATATGATACTAGAACTGATAAAAACAATTTTTTGTCAATTTTTGAAGGCATGGTTTACCAAAGATTATTGTTTAAAAGCAATTTATTCTGTTATTTTCCCACTGGCAGGTGAAACTAAAATGCAATTGAGTGGGATATGCACCTTCCTAACTCTGTGTCCCCACACCTCAACCCACACCTGATCAGGTCAGAGAACAATTTCTTATTCCCTTGGTTCTAGGACAGGAAAAATTGGAACTGACTTGGCTGCCTTAATTGCCTGTGCCCCACAGTTAATATCAGAAGTGGTGAAGTCTCACTTTCCCTGGTACTGCTGGGCAGCCAGAAGATGCAAAGGGAATTATAGAATGGAAAAGAGCAACCTGAGGTTTCTTTCTACACATGAAAACTACAAGAATGAGGTAGACATTGTGCTAAGGCTAGACCATTTTCCCTCACCTGTACGAAGATATAATTAAATTTTTCTGTAAGAACTTTGGAAAGAGGAGAGGAGAGAGGATGTAGGTTTTTTTCTTTTTATCTCTTGGTGGCAAGAGTGGTAATATCACTGGTGAATGGTTTTCCTTATTTTGTAGCAATCTGGAAGCTCAGTTTTACAGGAGTTAAACTGTCACAAAACACTTGAAAGTAGAGCACATAAAAGCGTGAGGATATGTTAAAACTATTATTATTACATTTTTTTCAGCATAGAGCTCAGTTTCCCTGTCTTGAAGAGATTCATAGCTCATATAGTCCTCACATCCATAATAATAATAATAATGAGATTTAAAAAATAATATAGTGTAGCACAACATTAAAATTAATGGAAGCTTTGTAATGTCAAAAATGATGGAGGCTTTGTAACAAAGTGAACATTGTAGAAAAATTGGCAATCATTTACCTACCATATTGATAGCATTCACAGGCCCAATGCTATTTACGTACATGTCAGTGTGAATTACTGTTGGTTTAACTGTAAGAGAAACGGCAAGAATCAGTAACATGAGTGAAGGTCAAAATCAACTACTTGAAAGTTAAACACAAGCAAAAGATTATTATAGTACCTCTCTTGTATGGCTATGGTTGCCTCACATTTAAATGTGCATATACAATACATATAAATTTGCAGCGATTTCTCCAGTTTGAAATTAGTTGAAGACACTTTAAGACAAATTCTTATATCATTTATTCTATCAGAACAAATTCACTTATGCTATGAGAACAAATACTGAAACCAGTGTTGTTACCTTAGAGTGAGTCATATCAGACTGAGAGTATGTATATTTTGTGTCAGGTCATAGCAACACATCTGACAAAACACTATCAATGAAAGCAAACTTATGCTTCTTATGATGTCTTACATCACTCGTTTTACATTATAATGCTAAAACCACGACTGCTGTTGCCTGCAGAGATGGCTGTAGGTAAGTAAAAATTTCATGAGCCCAAAGCAAAAATAATACTCAAGGCTCTAAAACAGGAATGACAAACAGTTGTTAGATTAATTTATTTTGAAATTACTTTATTGTAGCTTTATTATTCTTATAAACCTTGACTAAAATATGATTGTTTTTTCCCAGATGCTTTTATGAATGCTTAATTCCTTTCTGTTCTTGAAAGTCTCGGATTGGGAGAATAATACAAATTCCTCTGTTAATTTACACTATATACATACATTGAAGGTTAAATACTCATGTTATCCCTCACTGTGAAAAATTCCTTAGTTTATAAGCCTCTATAAACTTGTTAGGAGCAGCTTCCTTCACTAACCTTTTTGTTCTCTGCTTTCCTCTGCCTGCCTCATCCAAGAATTCTCTTTGCGTTTTTCTATAATCTTATTACTGCTGTATCCTCTTCTGCAGAGGTATTGTCTGCCTGTTCTGTGCACACATGGGGCCTTCTCAAACTGACTTGCAGCAGCTCAGAGAGATTTATCTCTTCAAACTCCCTCAGTAATCAGTGGAGAGGAAGATTCCTGCAAAAGGTGATTCAGTCAAATAAGACTTCCATTATGAGTCCAAGCTTGGGTCTATATACTTATATTGGCTGTGGGGGAAATCTAGGGAGGTTGGCCTTACTTGACTACAGTTATCTTTTGTGAACCTCTTTCTCTGTGCCCTATTCCCCAGTCACTTCTTGCCCTGCTGTGCAAGTGAGGGCCCATGCCGCACCAGTCAATGTAGACCTGCTGTTGTTAGAGGCTCTGTGTCCATTGCATCATGCAAGGATCAGGCTGCGTTATCCTTATTTTGGTCTTCCTTTCCAATACGTTATTTGTGATTCTCTAACACCCTCACTTAGATATACAAAGAAGATAAAAACTTGCTTTTTCATTCCCCAAAAGTTAAATTCTGAACTTCCTGTGCAGGTGCATCATTACAAGCAGCCTGATTCAGCAAATCACAGCAGTCTTATTACATGTCTCAGAATAGATTTAGCAACCTTAATTTATGTCAGCTTCCAAAAATCATGACTACTTTTCATGCCACTGATGTTTTACTACATTGTATTTTGTTTTTGTAAGTACTTTGAATGGTTTCTGCTTCCTGTGTAGCATAATATAGTATGAAAAGTCTTTCTCTTCACCACTTAATCAAAAGTGGCCTAAAAAGAAAAACAACATACCTCCTATGTCAGGTCTCAACTTGTTGTCATATCCTTCCAGCAAGCCATTTAAAATAAGAGTGACATCACTCTCATGGACTTTGGGAGTCAAAACCCAAGTCTTATTTGAAGTGTAATCTTCATAATCATCATCCCCCTTTTGGGTGGAACTGTTAAAGAAATAAAAATGAAGAAATGGAAAGCCTTGAAAAATATGAATTTCTAGGCAACCTCCTCAGAGACAATACATACATAATTCAGGTTTTAATAGTACTGTACAAAACATTGAAAAATTGCCTGCTTTATAGAAAGAGACTCACAGTAAAGATGTCACATAACAGTTGAGGTTACAGTTCACTTTAGCAACATTTCCTTTTACTACAGTTGAGATCATATTCTGTCTATTTGAAGGAACATCAGTGCTTATCACCTTTGGCATGCCTATTTTTTCTCTCACTGACTCAGGTGGGACCTGTTATGAAACAAATCTAATTGTCACTTAGCTTATGCAACTCTCCACCAAAATATCACTTAGTATGTACACAGTGTTGTTGCCTTACTTCTCTTTGAGAGAACGATTTGATGTAACACATTACTGACAAGACCAATAATTAGATTCATTCAAACAAACTGTCATGCAGCTTTTCTCCACTCTGATGAACTTGAGCTTATTGTGTGTTTGGAAAGTTCAGCATAAATTTTTGCCAGTGGTTTTCATTTTCACTTTTGCTAACCAGAACTGAGAGAGGATAAAAAGTCTGCCTACCGTTTTTTTTCTGCTACTGGGCAGTATGACAGCAGATCTAGTATAATTCAACCTGCTTAGCACAGTAAAAAGAGCAAGTTAGGAATCGGAAATATGTAGAGACTAGCCTTAGTGGATGTTTTGTTTTCTTAAAATCTGTGCCTCCAGTTCTAGAGGATAACATAGAAACTACTTTAGAATATGACATCATCAGATATTTTCATTTCAGAATGTCAGTAGTAATCAGCTGAATGGTGCTAGGCGACTGTAAGTTTTTTGCATAATATGCCAGTGCCTTTCTTTCCTGACCTGCTTCTGTGACAAAGTTTGAACACTGCTGGATATGAAAAATCTTAATGATACTACAAATGTCTTAAGCTAGCGAATGGGTCAAAAGCAGAAAATTTAATTATTTTCCTGTTTCAACCAGGAGCTGTACAGAAGTAGGAAAGGGCATAGAGAAGTAGATTCTCATGGAGGCTAGAACTCACACGTGGCACACAAGATTGAAAGTGGACACAACTGACCATGGTCATGGGTGCAATAGTGAAGGGATGACTAGTCCCAGAGTCTCAGAGAGCCATTCTGTTAACACAGATCTTCGCTCAGCTGAGGTCTTGCCCACTCCTCCCTACAGTGCTACCCTGCTGCATCCTGTTTATACCTACCCAGAGTGGATGGCCTGAAGGCTCGCCTGTATTGGGCATTTGGGAGCTGCAAACCAACTACACAAATACAACTTCACTACGAAAGAGGCTTTAGCTTCTTTCTTCCCCGTGGGCACAGCCTAATAGGAAAGAGCCACAGCACATCTATGTCTCCCTGTATAAGACTGCTTCCCAGGAGGTGCTGGAATTTGAAGCAGCCTGAGACTGCGCATAGGGCTGTAACAACTGGGAATGCATAGCATGCACGAAAGAGCCAGTCTTGCATTGCATTGAATTGAGCTTGGAAGCTGCTAGTGAAGCTAGGTTAATCTATGCTTTTATTACATGTACTAAGTACCACTGACTGCAGCCTCCAGGCACCACCTAACCCACCCTGCACCAGCAATATGCATCTGGGAGCTTCAGCTTCCCAGATCGAGAATAGGCAACCCAAACTCCTCCCTCTGGCTACAAAGGCCTGAACCTGTAGTGTTTTACTGGCAATGAAAAGCAGAGTTTTAACTGGCAATGTGCTACATAGTATTCTGCTGGTACTGACAAACAGGCCAGGATAATTAAATTGGTGGGGAAATTTTGTTTATTCAGCTGTCTGGAGTTCAAAGATCTAATTGTAATTCAAAGGAACATAACTGAGGCAAGGTTCTCCCTCCTGGAGGAAAGGAAATCCTTCTAAAAAAAGTCTTTGCAAACAGAAGACACTATATGTTTTCAGTCAGTGCAAAGTGAATGAAAAAACCTAACTTCATGTATAAAAAGCCATACTCCTGTTTTATAACCAATTAAACATCTATTCTCCAAAAATAATAGTTTTTCTGAATGGAAAAAGAAAAGTAAATCAAATACATTCTTTCACAAAGGCAACGCGTTCCTAAATATTAATGTGATGAGAAAGCTTCAAAAGTCAAACAGCTAGTGAGTGGAGTCTGGTGTACTGGACAGTGCAAGATTAGGTGATGAAAAAGATTTTGTCTAGGGCTTGTCTCAAATCTACAACAACCTTATTGAACAGTGGCCCACAGTCACTAAAACTTCCGTTTCCTCTTGGTAATTATTTGTAGGAAAGAAATAGCTCACTCTTTGCTCATCTGCCATTTCAAGCCATTTTGGCACTTCAAATCTCAAAAACCAGCAAATGCCTTATGAGATTAGTGTGAGAGAGCAGAGAGGGAACACAGCCAGTGTAACTAGGGAAAAAGGCCACTGAATTCCAGCTTTTATCTGAATTCCAAATGGATCATAAGTTAGCATGGGTATCCAATTGTCTAAATGTCTGTCTGTGTAAGACTGCATACCAGCCAGAACGATCAGAGGTGCGTCTGTATCGAGATGAGCAGGGCTTTAGTTGTGTAATGCCATTAATACTAATGAAAGTGACAATGACAAAGCCCTTTTCATCTCCTTAAGACTTTCAGATCAGTCCTTCTGATTATATGGCCTAAATTTTGCCAGTGCTTTTAATGTCCAGAACAAATTCAATAAAGCCCAGATTATACCCAAATGCATATTGAAAACTGTTTTTATTTTCATGACTGCTAGAGGTTTTCAAATCTAGTAATATAGATATGCAAAGAAACACATATATACCTATTTGCAGATTACAGTATAATTTTTTAAAAGTTAATGTTTCAGATACTGATACAAAATGTCACTGTTTGAGATATGCCCACTTCTGACATTAATGCCATTGCAAGATGTGTGCAAGACTGCTCTACATAAAGCTAGTTTCCCTGTTTGGAAAAGAGATGGCTTAAGAGGGTCAGAACTCAAACTTGAAACTTAAAGTCTTAGGGTAATTAAAGTTAGAAGGTGCTTTTGGAGGTCGTCTGGTCCAATCCCCACTCAGTTTGCCAGCTAAGCCTGCTTGAGGTAGCTATGATCGTAATTACTTACACATATATATAACCATGAATGTGCCTAACATTCAGGGGGGCTCTTTGTATGTGTCAAATTATTTGAAATACATCTTCACAAAGCAAATAGAGGGCAGAAATCACTACAGGCTAATACGCATTTATTAATTTAGATCAGAAAGTACATTAATTTGGACTACAGGAATATTTGGGGGGGATGACAGCACAAGATTGAGTCATATTTTTTATTTTTTTTTTATAAAATGTGCAAAGATCTATGAACTGGTATCTTACTCTACAATTACATACAAACCTCATTCTGCCAGTGAGGTTTTTACCATGGCAGGGGCTAAAAAGACTTTTAACTCATGTTTCTTATCTCCCTCACTATAAAATACACATACTAATCCTAATTCTGTACTAAAGAAGTTGTTACTTGATTTATAACTTTTATAAAGCTCTTTCGAGTGCTCACTGGTGAGGTGTAACTTTAGCACAAACTGGGATTACACAAACTAAATGTTCAGGACCGGATTCTCCAGATCTTTGCTAGTGCACACCATCCATAAGTTTTTTGCAATGCCATCTGGGCAACATTTAATTATTCATGGAACAAGTTTAACCTCTGTGGGCAGAGGTACCTACTGCAGGTAGAACTGGGTTCACCAACCAAAGGATAAAGAACCAATGAAAAGATGCTCTATTTCATTGGCATAGCCTCTTTTACAGACCCCTTAGCGCTAAAGGCATTATTTCTATGCTGGAAATATGTTGAAATACTAGAAGATTAGTTCAATCAGTCCCAGAGGATATCTCTGCTGAGAAATCACTGATGTGTTAGGAAAATATTTTTTTTCCATCTTCTTTTCTGAACCTTGTCCAGAAGACACAGCAAAGCCCATTAGTCAAAGATTTCGTTAATGTGCTGATACACTATTCTCTAGCAGTTCAAACCCATGAAGTCCACGTTACAGTTTGAGAATCCATTCTTCTTTTTAATAGATTTATTATTTTTTTTTTTTTTTTTTTCTTTTTTTTCCCCTGGTAAAATTTGTATTTGTGTGGATTACATTGAAAGAGAAGTCTTGTCATGGTGAGCGTGCCAGGGGAAAGCAAATGCTTCCACATGCAACTGCAGCACTGCCAAAACAAGGGAATATCTATTTGTATGATAACCTGTTGTCTGTAACTCTTTTTTGTTTGCTTGACAAACAAAATGGGAAAAGCTAAAGGAAAAGAAAACACCTGTTTTATTCTGTGATGATAAATCACTTTAGTAAAATTTAACAAATAATTATATTAATGGTATTTAGCTGTCTTACATTATTATCCTTTCAACCCCTTTGGCTTAAATTCTTTAGTTCAAAATTCAAAATAAATGGTGGATTATCTGTTTCAAAACTACTGTGTTTTAGTTAATTGCTAACATGAAGTCGGCATTATAATTTTTGATGATCTCTGCTGTTCCATGACATCTCCATATCAGAGACACTCTAATGTAACTTCCAGAAGAATCATATGTAGCATTTCTTAGAAAGACACTACGATATGTTGGTAAAGATACACTATACATTATTTAAAATCACATGCAACAGCAATAATTTTTTGGTCTAAACTGAGGGACAGATTGGGTACATCTTATTTCATCAGTGAGCAATAACTCACAAAGGATGTCCCTTTGAAATAAGGTAAATATTTCCCAATCCACAGGAACATGATTTTCATAACTTGTTACAAGTAGTAGAAGGGAAATTATACTCTTCAATGATGCAAAAACCTACCATGACTGCTCAGTCTTTCAACATTCAGATGTGAGGTCACATATTTAGCTGGTCAAAATCTCTAGAATTCCAGTGACTTTAAATAAGATATGCCAATTTCTGCCTGCTGTGGCTCTGTCCTTTAACTTTTCTAAATATAGAAAATGATTTTTAACTAGTTCCAAGTGTTCTATTAAGAAACTTCACACAAGAGTCAATTATCCCTGCTGGAATCTGCTTGCTATTGCATTGCTGTTTACAAGCAGAATCAGAGTAGCCCCAAAGTGCCTAAAGAAGATGACCTGTAGCAGTACTGAATAGCCAACAACTAATTAGTTTAACTCTAATTAAAACCTTAAGTTTATTTGTCAAAAAAGTCTGACTAATTTCATCTTTTATACCAAGTAGGCTATAGA